GGCCAACCTGGGGGGCAGGGCCGGCGAGTACGGCCGCTTTTACTCGCCGGCTTTGGAGTTTCCAGCCTGGTATGAGCACGGGGCTCGACAACGGCGGGCACCAGATCCGAAGGATCGATGAAACCAGCACCAACCTGCACTCGCTTCCGAAGCCGCCTTTTGGCGTGGCTTGGAAGATGCCCTCGTTGGGCGAGTGTTGACGGCTTTTCGAGAGCGTGAGCGGACTCGAGGGACGTAGGGTTGGGGTACGTTACAACGGTCTCGAAAACTAAGACGTGTATGAATACACCCTTCCCTGTCACCTTGAGCCGAGGAGTGGCTACCGTCGATATCGACTTTCGGACGCGACGTTGAGGCAACTACGTAGTTGTCTCGGTTGCCAGTCCTAGCTAGAATTTTGTCTGCTGTGAGGGTTACCTGTTTCAGTGGTGCGTCCTCGAGCAGGGCCGTAACTGTAGATTGGATAAATGCTGGTAGAGATTCCAGCCACAGTTCTTTAACAATTTCAGAATCGGCTGCCGTGGGTCCTGCAAGAGATTGCAGGCGCGTGAGGTAGTGGCTCGGTTTAGCATCACCCAAGGGGTGACGTGCTAATAACGTCCTCAATCGTTCCTCCCTCAATGGGAGGAAATGTCTGAGGATCGCCTCCTTGAGACGATCGTAAACATTGGGCACATTGGAATTGAGGAAAACCTCACGGACAGCTACTAAATGGTCTCCCGGTAAACATTCGAGAGCGTAGGCGTACTTCTGCCGTTGGCTTGTGATATGACGGGTCTCAAATTGAGACTCTATAGCAGCAAACCAAACTTCGGGATCGTGAGGAATAAAAGATACAGGTCGAAAGTGTATTAACTGTACGTCAGAGTCTATTACGTTAATACTATTCTTATCGTTATCCGTCATGTCAAATATATTATATGTTAAAAATTAATATGAAAATATATGACAGACGTGGATAGATAAGCGATAGACTCACCAAAATTGACTTCTTTGGAAGGTTTGGTTGCGATTGCCAAGTGGTCGTAGATGTAGATTCACCAGTTGCAGAAGATTTGACCGAAGTTGAGGCGCGTTCCAATATTTGGCTCACCAAATGTAGCGTGGTGTCGAGTTGAGCTTGACTATGAACACTGCTACAAGACTACGTGACAATAGACCAATAAGATTCCGGTAGGCCAAAATTCAGAAGGCAGATGATGGCTGTAGTCGAGATGTATTTGTTGGAGATCTCGTGGTATCGAAAGAATACCGAGATCGTGCCAAAGGAGTACAAGCGTGGTTACTGAGCGTAACCGGATCCGTACAAGTTCAAAGTCAACGGGAGAGTAAGTATATTGGCTGTCATTAGCACAGTTAAACAAACGAGCACAGTAAAACAGTCGCTGGTACAATTGGTTATAATAATAATTGTTTTCATTGAACCAACCGCGTTCTGTTAACAAAAGTAGGTCACTACACGACTATCACATGTGCCTTAGTGCAACATGTAAATGAAGCAACTAGGTACGGCCCGGAATTCGAATCATCATTGCTAGATTACGTTTTGGTCTATTATGATGGTGACGTCATGAATCTCCATTATATGACACTCCTAGGCAAAAGTGACCACGAAGTTCTAGTCTTTAATTTTCATATGGTTGCCAATAATAAGAATACGTTGGGCCAAGCCAGACCGAACGTTTGGATAGTAAATTTACTAGATATTATACACTCGACGCCATCAGTAAATTGGTCAATACAACCAGATTCCTTAATTGAAGCGGCTTGGGATGTGTTCATAAACTTGCACATAAAAGTCACTGGATGGCACATTCCTTATGCTACACTAGGGGACCCACAGGTCTAGAAGGTTGTAGTCAGAAAAACGCGGTAATAAATCCATAGAATACCCTGAATGTTTATATTAAACTTAAATCAAAGGACTAAGAGAAGAGAAAATATTGCAGCATTATGGGGAGACAGTAGTACTGCATTATTAGTGGAGGAAGATTATGGCAAAGCCGTGATGGATCCAAGCAAAGAGCTCGTAGAATTATGGTCTACTATGATATTAGTGCTGCTTGAATATAGACCTAATCTTAAAATTGCAGACTTTTTATGACGTAACTGCCTAATCTATAAGATCTTACGTGGAAGTCACATCATTGTCTACACTGACTCATCGTATCGTAACAATTACCAATATATGATGGAGAACACATTCAGGCTGCAGATAGGACAATAAATTTAATATGAGTAACAGAAAGTTGTACAGAGCGCCCATGCTCGCGAGGTTGATCCATGCCATCTGATCCATTTGAATTCCTTCAACTAATTGTTCCCGCCACCTCCATCATTGGGTTTTTCTCTGCGTTAAATGTTGAATATTTACTTCCCAATTGTCTCGTGTTCAGCTTTAAGGATTTTGTGGTTAGGGCCCAATGCCACTATAAGCTTACTTAATATATAACAAACACATAGTTACTAATGATATACCAAAAAGTATTAACACCACAAACTGGAGTGTCTATCTATGAGCAGAGGGAGACAGGCATAAATAACGCTTACATAAAAATGGTATACTGGATAATAAAATAAGTTGTCGTGAAATGAATGTTACTTGCAAGCCACTTCTGGGATAACAATCTCAAATGAGTCCACTTTATCAACAAAGGTTACCTCTGCACATGGTGGCATCAAAGGAATACCGAGAAAGACTGAATTCAATTGTGATATTTAGTGATAATCCGGGTCATAACTCCGACGTGGTGTAGAGTAGCCAGGAAGGATGTCATAACATTATAATAACCTTCAGTCAAATGCTGTAGCCAATAAAGTAGAAGATCAGACGACAAGGATAGAGTTTATTTCTAATAATAGTGGTAGCGTATGTGTACCACCAAACAATCATATCCGTTCCTTTACCACTAATGCAGTGAAACAATAACTATTGAAGCATGATAAATCGATCTACTTGTAACGTACGATCCAGAATAACAATAGAACCGAACTTCAATTTAAGCACCAAAGTTTATTTGTAAAGTACAGATAATCGACTCAAATATCGTTGTAATGACAGTTATAACAAATACAAAACAAACCTTCAATTATTTAGGTTCCCGAAGAAAATACTCTCAAACGAAGAGCAAAAACCAAACACAAAGTGAAACCAAAGTATCCGAAGTAAAAGGTATAAAAAAAGTTCAGAAGTTGAATGAAATAAATGCATCGAAAAACGCAGTGAAAATTTTGATGTTCAACACAACTGTTTTAATCAGTCAAATGTCTTCACTTACCTTGTAACATTTAGAACAGATTATTCGTGTCCCACAAACTCATGAGTAGGCCGTGAAAGTTAGTGCACTTTTGAAGATCAAAAGCTACTTATAGATGTGGTCTACAGTGGCTTTAGTAAGGCGTTTGACAAAGTTATGAAGTTTAGTAGTATCGTGATTGGAGGCAATCTATCATTATGGGTAAATGACATCCTAGTTCGTCGTCAGCGAAGAGTGCAGGTGAACTCAAATTTGTCCAGCTGGAATACGGTGCTTATCGGAGTACCTCAAGGTACAGTTTTGGGGCTGTTGTACCTTACGCATGTAAATGACTTCCCTAGTCTCCTATCATCATCCGTTTTGTTATGAGCTGACAATATCATGACATCGAGAACGATCACATGTAAAAATAGTAGTTAAGAGCTGCAAAATAAGCTGGAGAAATGATCTAAATTGTCTAAAACTTGGCAGTTGCTGATAAATTCTTACAAATGTATTATGATGCACATCGGTCACCAAGGTGCAGATACACACACGATGAATCAAGTTGAACTACCTGTTGTCCAGACACACAATGACTTGGAAATCACCGTTAGCCAAGACCTAAAAATTAATACGCACTGCTGTGCGTTTGATGCCAAAGATTTCAGAACCCTCTAGTTAATATGTAGGACCTTTAGCCATGTCAATTTTAAGACATTTCAGTCTTTGTATTAAGTATTCGTTCGTCCTAAACTCGAGCACTATATACAAGTGGCTAGCCTCTGCCTTAAAGTAAGCTGTGAGCTGTTGGAAGAGGTTCAAAGAACTTCAACTAAGCTGATTCCTGGAATATAAAAGCTCCCGTATAATGCTCGATTGGCTAAAATAAATCTATTTCCATTGGAAGAACCAGGAGCGACTTGATTATAAATTTTAAATTCCTTAGTGATAAATTTGAATCTGATATGCCCTCACTTTCCCTGTCTTCAAAAACAAAGAATTTATGAGGACACTCTAAGAAGTTCACAAGCTCAGAACAAATTGTCTATCAAATGATATAGGCTTTCTCATAGAATCATCAGCGAGTGGGATTTATTACCTCAAAACGTAATTGAAGCCCGATCTATCGACGCTTTCGAAAGAAAGTTGGGTAGATCGAGAAGTAATAATTACCAAGGCAAGTACAGGCCACCTAGTCCCTTGTCTTTTCCAAACTGAAAATGAGGCTGAATAATATCATTCATCAACTAAAACTGGATACAAACAATCATTCATGTTATTTAAATGTATGACAAGTGATTCGTGGCTCACCAGGCGAAGGAAAAATGAATTAAAAGTTAGTAAGTGACGATTACAGTAGAGTATCAACTTAATAAAGCTATCAAATACGTCAATCGAAATTTGTGCTCACATATTGGCAATTAAAGAAAATCGTATCTCTCCTATCACAGTTGACAGATACTGGATTTGTTAAACTTTATTTTCCTTTTTTAACACGAGCTTTTAGGAGAGGATATACTGAGGAAATTATTCAGGTCAATTCTATGACCGAATCGGCAACAAAGTTACTACAGTTTGACCTACAGGCCCAAGGTTGCCTGGATTGACCTTGGTTTGCTCGAGGTCCGATTCGGTTTTTTATTTGTTGCTCTTATTCTTATTGTGATGCGTTGATATACAGAAGAAGTTTCCTAGGAAGAAATTTTGATCCTCCGTTGTGTTTTTTACTTAGATGAGCTACCACTTGCATCATTTAGGCCCATGAAGCAAGTACCTATTATTCAAGATTCATCCGATGAGTTCGAAATAAATAGTGTCAGACCTTCAAGCTCATCCAATGAAACTATTCAAGCCCCTTCAACTGATTGCTCAAAGATTTCATTTTCTTTGCCTCCCGCGAGCAAATGTATTTCAGGATCTAGTTCTTCCATACATAAACTCCCATTTGATGTGATTCTAGAAATTTTCAAGCTTCTTCCAGCCTCCGACTTATTGCACAATGTTCCGGCTGTCTGTCAGTTGTGGTATCATGTGTCTTTGACCCCTGTTCTTCGCACCCGCCTTGTGTTACGACGTCAGATACCAGCCGAATTAATTGTCAAAGCTATTTCCAGTCGGCCGATGCTTCGAGTTCTACGATGTCTGGCACTTAAACATGCGGAGTCTGTACTGCCGGATGCTATTAAACTTTGTCCTTTGCTTACATGTCTTAATATAGGGTTTAGCACCTTGAGCGAGCGAGCAACAACTATCCTCGTCAATAATCTCCCACCAACATTACTGCATCTCAACGTTGAAGGTGTAAATAATATACAGGTAATCAATGAAAAATAATTTTTTTCATTGTAGTCCAACCGGTTGGACATTAGGATCTAGGTTTTTAGTAGTGAAGTACCATTTGCTGTTGACTGATTATTATTGTTTTGGCAGCTTTTGCATCATCATGAATCAATATTCACAACTAGACAGTATCCAACTCTTTAACAGCTAGGTCTACCTATTGCATGATGGATATGGATTGGCACTAGGGTTCTAGGTTCTTATCTGAAGGTTTGTTAGACTGAATTGATCTTCCTAGGTTCATATGATGACTCCTACAATTGTTTTGATGTAACATCAATTAAGTATGGACTGACATTAGTAATAAGCAGCTTATTTTTTTTTCAAATTTTTAGCTAATAATTAACTTGAGTATTCACTTCTCAACGAGTTTACAGGGTTAGTGTTGGGCCTGGACTCAGTGACAGTGTTGTCCTAAAGCGAACATTTTATCGAGTAGTATATTAATCGTTCTCTAGCGAGTTTGGTGCTAGTAGTTTTGTTACGAATTCCCTTGTTTTTAGTCCGTTGTAAATAAGTATTAAAGCTTGCTATATGTTCAATGTTTAAGTTGTATTGTTCTAGATTACAATCATATAGACTCTTTCCTGTACGTTAACGATTAGTCGTCATGTATTAAGGTGGAAATAGAGGTTGATTGAATGCTTAATACGTTTGCACATTAGTTCTGTTCCATTCGTTTTAGTTTTTGATAGACCAGCACGACCAGACTACCAATCTAGAAGCTCTCTTTTCACGATGCACTACAAGAGGAAAGATAAAGATATGCAGACAATGATGCAAGCCTAAGAGAGGAAAGAGTGAAAAAATGGAATCGAGTGAGACATGGCCTGACACTAGTTGAAATTTAAGAAAGGAGTCTTTCACTATTACCAACGTTGAAATATATCACACAGTCTTTAAACACAGATTGTATTTATTTGTCGGATCTAAACAAAAATATCCTCATACGTCTACACGGCTTAGATCAATATCCATCTACTCCATAAATGTAGGTGTCTTACTTCACTGAAGTGACGGACATATACGTACAGATAATGATACGTATTGTTTGTTTTTCTTATGTTTGTTTAAAGTCATGACTTTGGTCATGTTGATCATTGATTTTGCTGTCGATATGCATAAGACGAGTTTTTTAAAAAAATATTTAACCACTGAAAAAGATAATTATCTACGTTTAGGTTGCTGTCTATCAAATTTGGTAGAAGCATATCAATTTATAAGGGGGAATAAATTGAATAAATGTACGTTTTTGGTAACAACAATAATTTGGAGTAATTAAGGAGCTAGGTTCTTTTTGATTCCTTAATCAGTGCCCTCCTGAGTACGTAAAACTTCACTCCTTGACTGTTCAGGCAATTTGAATTTACTTATGTATTTTTGACAATTTGGGTGTTAGCTTTTCCTTTATAGTAAAAAAGCTTTTTGAATAACTTTGGTTATTTTGAAGTCAATCTTATGATGTGTTTCTGCTGGTTTCATTGTTATCTCTGATCGACTTTCAAGCTTCCAAACATTGGTACCTTTAAGTATCTTACATACAAATATCTCATTCACTATATCTAGAATTTTGGATAATTTTGCTTCTCTGCCTTCGGTTTCACATCCTAAACTCTCACTATTGTCGGATCAAGGGAATCATCTGTGCAAAGATAAATCTTCGCTTTATGCAATCACTACTTTATTTAATAGACAACAAATGTCTAAATGTAGCCATAGACATGTTGTAACAGTCATTACTAATCTTTCAGAAATTAGCAGGAATCTAGTATTTCGTTTTTTTATAGGTCATGAGCACATTATTCCACACATAATTTCTTTTACTATTTATTTTTCTTTTAGTTCATCTGCCTTTTTAATAATCTTGTTGGCTGTTTCTTTCTGTCATGAACTGATGCACTTATGAGTAACAAACATGACATAATCCACTTATCAAGTGCACGTTTATGTACTAGGGTTTGAACCACACTTTATATTAACACTAGTGATATTACTTAGCTTCTCAAACCAGTCCTATATTACTCAGGGTAATTAAACATGAAAGTTTACGGATCAATCAAATTTTCTTTATGAAACTGACAAAAAGCTGAAACAGTAACTGGAATAAGTTTTCTGTACCATGGTGATATTTGTTAACAGTCCTATATATAAAACGATAGACATTCGCAGTTCAGATGGATACTTTGGGTGGTGTTGTGTTCTCTGATCTGGATGGTTTAATTCCAGAAAATTTTCATTGTCATTCTAAATAACATGTATAATCCCTCCTTCATATAGAAGCGATATTTTCAGTTGCTCCACAAGTGTTATGCAAGTTTTTTCTGGTGGGCGTGCTGGTGATTAGCTGTCTTAGTGTGTGCCCCCAAATTCCCTGGTACGGCCGAGAGTGGGGAGGGTCCGCTCTCCCTCTCGAAATGCTTTCACATGGCCATGCGTATATAGCCTCTACCAGGGAAGTCCTACTCACTGCCTTCTCGTGGCGGGGGTGTTGTTTACGAAAATGAGAGAACGAAAAGCAAATGTCCGGCGCTTTAACCGGATCCCAAATCAATGGTGCACATGGGCTCCAGTATCCTGAAGGAACAAATGGCGTATGAACCAATCGTTGGTCACCGGCTACCATGGGACTGCATCTCCTCACGATGCTCCACTGCCTTGTGGGTCAGACGTTCAGGTCGAAGGCTCGGAGTGTGGCCCCCTAAGAAAACCACCTGCTTTGGTTTGGGCACCCGGGCAGTATCACAGCCCTTACACAAATCAATTGAGATTCGTGTGGCGCATATGTATTTGGTGACTCCTTGTACCAATGCCTATGTGTTAAAATAAATAAATAATGTCTTAGTGTGTACTTGTTTTCATGTTGGCTGTCTTTGTTAGTTAACCTCTGACCCTGTAATTGATTAGCCCCCAAATGTCCTAGTACAGCTGAGGGTGGGGAGCGTTAGCTCTCCCTCTCGAAATGCTATCACATGGCCGTGCGTATACAGTCACTGCCAGGGTAGTCCTACTCACTGCCTTCTCGCGGCAAGGGTGTTGTTTACAAAATTGAGAAGACGAAAAGCGAATGTCCGGCGCTTTAACCGGATTGGTGGATACAAAGAATTCACCTAAGGGAGTTGAAAAACCCCGATTCCAAACCAGTGGTGCACACGGGCCCCAGGATCCTAGAGAAATAAATGGCGTATAAACCTATTGTTGCTCACCGACTGCCATGAGACTGCATCTCTTGACGTTGCTCCACTGCCTTGTGGATCAGGCCTCTAAGTCGAAGGATCCGGGCGTGGCCCTCTAAGGAAACCACCTGTTTTGGTCTGGACACCCGGGCAGTATCACAGCCCACACAAATCAAGTGACTTGTGTGGTGCATATGTATTTGGTGCTCCTTTGTACTAATATTCGTGTTCAAATTAATAAATAATTGATTAACCCCTTCCGTATGGATTTATAGGTTGAATCACATCTGACTTCACGAAGGAGCAGGCTGAAGATGTCCGAAATGACACCAAAACTCTGCGATGAAACTATGTAGCTCAAAAACGACTATATCATCAAGTTTTATGTGTTTGTTTACCTGGTGTTTTTGTGATAGCTTGGATTTTCGTCCCCCATTGTAATAAGTAACTAGTTACGATGAATATAGTACTTATTAAATTGTATTTTATGTATCTTATATTTTATTTGTGAGAATTTAGGAATAGGTGTCATTTAAGCAGATTGTTGTATACTCTACATATTTGTCCTATTATTGATTACTGATACAAGTTCTATTACTTTTAAATGTTTTAAATTCCTTCTACTTTTTCATATATTTTCTAGATTGATTTCATTACTACTTTAGTACTTAGGTGTCCAAAGTTAGAAGCACTCAATCTGTCACATTGTGTTTCAGTATGTGATACATGTGTAAAAGTAATTTCAAGTGGACTACACAATCTACGCCGTCTTAACTTGGATGGTGTTCTTTGGATTACAGACACCGGTGTTTTACATCTGGCCGACAGTGAAGCTGTGCGTAATGGTAACCTTGATGCAATATGGTTGGATGGTTTTGAACTTTCAAATTCCGGATTAAATGAATTCATTATTCGATTGGAATGTGCTACGAAACGGATATTAGACGTTGAAGATCTTGTAAATCCAGAAATTGGACACCGTATAATTGGAATTCAACAACTGTGGATTAGCTTTTGTGATCATGTTGAAGATGAAGCAGTTAAATCCATAGCTAACCTTTCAAATCTTGTCGCCCTTACATTGCGGAAAACTCATCAAGTCAGTCCTACCGGTTTGAGTTCATTATTTGTCTCCAAAAGTTTAAGTCCTTTGGACCATCAATTAAAGTTGAGGTATCTTGAACACTTGGATTTAAGTGAAGCTCCTGGTTTGAATGATTCAGTAGTGATGGATATTTGTAGTTGCTGTGGTAATCGCCTACGCTTTCTTACCTTAAACTGGTGTTGGGAAGTTACTGATATTGGTGTGAACCAAATAATTGAAATATGCAGTTCTTTACGCCAGCTAAGCCTTATTGGGAATTCTGTTATTCAAGGAAAAGCATTTGCTGATATCCCGTTAAAGGTACCTCATTTAGTGATATTAAATTTGACTCAATGTAATCACGTTGTTGATAATATACTTGAAGATCTTTCACTTAAAATGCCAAATTTATATGTGTTTGACTTCTTTGGTGAACGTGTCGGTGGAGGACTGAATGATATTTGCCACTTTGATATATCTAGAGCATTGGGCAAAGTGCCCATTTGTACAGATTAACTAGTTGTGTTCAAAATCAATCAAATTACTTCAGCTATGTATTCAACACTTTAATAGTTATTATACTGCTTAATTAATCTGTGATATTTACATCTAAGTCCTATCCACACTATTCAATCCGCTTAGTTTTCCTCTTTTTCGCTGATTCGGTGTCATTACAACATTGTATTTATTATCAAGATAACGTGTAATTATTAAGCAGATTTTGTCGATTCTTTTATAGGAATCTTGTACATTTTCTTTGTTATTGACAAATTACGGCGCATATAAGTGATGAAATTAGTTTTGTATGGAGGAATATTTTTACGAGTTGTCATGCTGGATGAAAATAAGACCTCTATTTTGTGATTAAGATTTATTTGATATTTTTCACGTGTTTTGAAATTGATCAAGCTGTATCTCATCCACTTCCAATTTTTATTCTTATCTTAATATTCTAAACTATTCCAAGTTTCTTGTTTATTAATTATTGCATAATACCTATTTTTGTTAAGAAGAAAAACAATACACACTGAACATGTGTCTAGCCTGTCCTCAGAGAAGGTAGTTCAATTTTTTGTTGATTAAAAGTGCATACGAATAGCAAAATATGTAATTTCATGTTAGTGACTATTTTACATAAAACAGTTGCTGAAATGATAGCTTCCTACCAAAGTTTATGGATAAAATACAAAATGACTAATGTATTAAGTCATTTAACGTGTGCTGGTTAAAAATAGAAAGCTCTGATCAGTGTCTATACATATCAAATACCGACAGGGTCTTTAACTGTAGCACTGTTCTTGTTCAAAACAAGAGTATTCTTGAGATTGTAATATAATGTCATTGATAGAATCCTGTTTCAAGTCTATCAAATGGTAAGCAGTTGTCATAACAGAACTCTTAAACAATACGGTTTCACACAATTAACGTGAAAAACATTCATTACTACCGTATTATTGTGCTACATTTTTAATGTTATGTAGCTGCACGGATAGGTTCTTATACTTTTTATTACCAGATACTGAAGCACAATTACTGAGTTTTGGAACATTATGCCTGATAACCCTAGGCTCATAACTTTGATGTCGCTAAAAGTAAAATAGTTTTATGATTCCCACATAGTGCTGCCTTTTTGTTTTCTGAAGTTTCCTTCACTATTCTTTTACAAAACAGTGAGAAACGTAGCAGTGCAGTAACCTTGTTTTATAAAAATCACAGAATTCAAGTTTTCTCAACATCTAAGTAAAAGATTCCATAATTTGATAGATGGTGTATGTATATCGTTTCGACTTGTTATTTAATAAAAAACAAACAACGAACAAGCTGAAGCCCATGTAGCATCACTACCGTTGCATAAGTTTCTCGTAAAGTAGTTACTTGTGGATATATAGCCACTGTAAGAAGGTTATGGAATTCATTAGCGTTCTTCTTTATTTGTTTTGATAAAATCTCATAAGAGATTTATTTTGTGTTCCTTACTTTTGTGCCATAAATAAAGTCTAACTTTAATATCACAAATATTTCACCAGAAATTAATTAGTTCTTAGATCATAAGTTTTGTGAAGAACTGAGTGAACCTACTAAGCAGTTAGTCCGACAAAACAAAAATAATAATAAATACACCAATTCATGAAATAAATTTTGTGTCAGTGATAAGGGCTAATTTATGGTTGTATTTGTTGTTTGAATGATCAGAATATCTAAAACACAACTATGTATATTAAATAAGGATTTACAGAGTTCCCAATTATGAAGTGCCTAGTGTCATCAATCGTCCAATATCTTTATGAAATCCCATTATAATTAGTTATTATAGAACAGTCAACGAACATAGGTAACAGGCATAATTTACTTCCTTATAACCTCGATTTCATTCATAATTCTTACCGTAGGTCAATGAAATTTCTGAATAAAATTTAAAGTAAATAATATGGTGAAAATTTTTAAATTCTTTATGTTAGTATTTCAAGCCAATAACATGAAAGCGTCGGCTTTACCGCTGCTAAACTTTTTTTCGAAATGTTAATGGTTAACTGTTTTCTTATGACAATGAATCGTCTTTTCTACAGGGTTAATTTCACCCAGAAATTTAAGATATATTTGTCCTTCTAGAATACTGACAGGTATACCTCTGTCAAAATCTAAGCATACCGATTGTCAGTCATCAACCACGACCCTCACTATGTAGCTTGAAGAGTTCCTCATACATTTTCTATGTAAATGTACCAATAGATGTTGTTCTGATCTAAAATCATTCCACGTGCCTAAGTATTCATTACTTTGTATTGATAATCTGTTAAATATATATATTCGTATTACAGAAAAAATTATGTGTAACTGAAAATCTTCGCATATAAATCTACCAGTCTTATCACTGAGTTTTGAATTTATACTTACTTACGCAAAGGGGCATAGGTCGCTCACCAGCATTCTCCATCCAACCCTGTCCTGGGCAATCCTTTCCAGCTCTTTCCAGTTCTTATTCATCCCCTTCATATCCGCTTCTATTTCCCGACGTAATGTATTCTTTGGCCTTCCTCTTTTCCTCTTCCCTTCAGGACTCAAAGTTGGGGCTTGCCTCGTGATGCAGTTTGATAATTTCCTCAATATATGTCCTATCCATTTCCATCGTCTTTTCCTAATTTCCTCTTCAGCTGGGAGTTGGTTTGTTCTCTCCCACAAAAGGCTGTTGCTGATAGTATCCGGCCAATGGATGTTGAGTATCTTGAGTAGACAGCTATTGATAAATACTTGTACCTTTTTGATGATGGTTGTTGTAGTTCTCCAAGTTTCGGCTCCGTACAGTACAACTGCCTTGACGTTGGTATTGAAGATTCTGACTTTGATATTGGTTGAAAGTTGTTTTGAGTTCTATATGTTCGTCAATTGAGGGAATGCTGTCCTTGCTTTGCCAATCCTTGCCTTTACGTCTGCATCTGAACCTCCTTGTTTATCGACGATGCCTCCCAGGTATGTGAAGGATTCCACATCTTCCAGAGTTTCGCCATCAACAGTGATTGGATTGCTGTTCTCTGTGTTGTATTTGAGGACCTTGGTTTTCCCTTTGTGTATGTTGAGGCCTACTGATGCAGAGACTGTTGCTATGTTGGCTGTCTTTATCTGCATCTGTTCGTGTGTATGCGATAGGAGGACTAGGTCATCTGCGAAGTACAAATCGTCTAATTGATTCTGAACTGTCCATTGTATGCCGTGTTTTCCCTCAAATGTAGAGGTCTTCATAATCCAGTCGACCACCAGAAGAAACAGGAAGGGAGAGAGTAGACAGCCTTGTCTGACTCCGGTCCTTACTTAGAATGCATCTGTCAGCTGTCCTCCATGCACTACTTTGCACTGTAGTCCATCGTATGAATTCCGGATAATATTGACAATTTTCTCAGGAACTCCGTAGTGTCGAAGAATTTTCCATAACGTTATCCTATCTACACTGCCAAATGCATTCTCATAGTCAATGAAGTTGATGTACAGTGGCGAGTTCCACTCAATTGATTGTTCGACGATGATCCGTAGTCTGGTCTGTGCACGACCGGTCCTTACAGAATCCAGCCTGTTGATCTCGAAGTTGAGAGTCTACTGTGTCTTTCATCCGGTTCAGTAACACTCTGTTAAAGACTTTACCTGGTATTGACAGAAGTGTAATGCCTCTGTAGTTTTCACACTTGCTCAGACCTCCTTTCTTTGGAATCTTGATGAGGTGTCCTTCTTTTCAGTCCATCAGCACTTGTTCCTCCTCCCAAATCTTCTTGAATAGAAGATGAAGCATGCTTGTAGTTACTTCGATGTCTGACTTCAGTGCTTTATCTGGTATATTGTCGGGTCCTGCTGCTTTCCCGCTCTTGATTTGTCTGATGGTCATTCTGATTTCTTCGGTCGTTGGTGGATTGACATCTATAGGAAGATCTGTGTGTGCTGCTTTGATGTCCGGTCGATTCATTGAAGCCGGCCTATTCAGGAGCTCCTCGAAGTACTCTACCAATCTATTCCGCTGTTGCTGAATCTCAGTGATCGGTCTTCCTTCTTTTTCTTTGACCGGTCTCTCTGGTTTACTATATTTCCCTACTAGTTTCTTGTATCGTAAAGCTGTTTTATATTTCCTTCTCTTGCAGCTTTTTCCGCCGTCGTTGCTAGTTCTTCCACGTATTTCTGCTTGTCGGCTCTAGTGCTCTTCTTCTCTTGCTTGTTCGCTTCTATGTATTCAGCTTGTGCTTGGACTTTCTCTGCTCGTGTTCGGCTGTTGTTAATTGCTGTTTTCTTGTTCTCCCTTTCTTTGATTCTGTCCAGTGTTTCTATAGAGATCCATTCCTTGTGATGATGCTTCTTGGGGCCCAGAACCTCTTGACACGTTGAAGTTAATGCTTCTTTGATACCTTTCCAGTTATCCTCCATAGTAGTTTCTTCTTCCTTCAGTAGATCCTGTAGGTCTTGGAACCTGTTGTTGAGAGCTACCTTGAATTCATTTGGTTTGTCAGTATCTCGAAGGAAGGCTGTATTGAACCTTTGCAGCTCTGTTTGTCCAGTTGTCCAGTTCTTCTTTAGCTTCAGTTTTAAATTGGCCACAAGCAGGTGGTGATCTGCAGCTATATCCGCTCCTCTCCTGGTTCTCACATCTTCCATTGTCCTTCGGAACTTTTTATTGATGCAAATATGATCTATCTGATTCTCTGTGGTGTGGTCCGGTGAGATCCATGTAGCTTTGTGTATACGTTTGTGTGGAAATATTGTGCCGCCTATGACCGATTTGTTGAATGCACACAGATTTGCAAATCTTTCCCCGTTTTCGTTTCTCTCTCCCAGTCCATGTAGTCCCACGATATCATC